CAGTTAATCGATACTCTCTCCCTCGTTGCCAGCAAGTTTGCTGCATGTGTTTTGATATAATAGTTTAACAAACATTGCGGCAGTATTATTTAAAGACTGATCGAGCATGAAATGGCTGTAATTAGGCAAGATAACATTTAGAAATGTGCACTTATAAAGGCTAACTGAAAAGAACGAAGTCTTGTGAAACCATTTCAAACAACTGAAACAGGTCCTGAATTCAAATTTGTAATTGTTATACAATCTGTAGTCCATAACAGATATCACTCAGTCAGACTATTAATTAACCTTTTTAACAGCTTTAAGACTCATATACCTGTCACATAAATTGACTGTTTAACACATTTAGAGGACTAACTTTTGAAAAGGCAAAATGGTCTTGCTATGATTTGTCCATTTGGTGTTTCTTTAATCAAAACAGTGGAATAACTGCTGTTCTAGTAAAAGGATCAGGTAATTTTCTTTCAATTCCTGTTTTTCCCAGCAGTGATAGAATGTTCAACACATTTTTTTTCTTAACAATGAAAAACCCAACAAACTGTAAAAACAATTGTATCATTGCTTATTATTACTGATCATTATGGTTTAAGCTATATGGTAAATACGTTGTAATATACTGTAAGTAAATAAGCCTGTCAAATTGGAATAAAGGCTGTTGTTATATTGCAATTATGTTGAAATCTGAAATAGTAACCCAGATTTTCATAAAAATGTGATCATTCAATTAATTATAATTCTGTCTAACAAGTTATGTCTTTAACCAATGTGTGCAGCCAACATTAAGATCTTGATGTGCAATCTGCTCCCTAAGTGCAAAAATTATAAAGAAACTATAAATAACACAAAGAAACTTGAAAATATTTATATGTGGTATAACAATAAGTGACAGGAAAAATAAAATAATGATTCAGAGCACAAACAAGAGAATGGGACATCATTATCAGCGTCAAGACACTAAAGCAGAAATGGGCTAAAGATCAGATCATTGTTGGCTCAAGAATACCAAAAGTCCAAAGAATGGTAGGATCCAAAAAGTCCAAAAACAACTTCCTGTAAAATGCTAAAACATGTTCATTAACTTGGATGTGAACAGACAGCAGGGTGTGGAAGAATCTTGCCGAGACCGTCATCCAGCAGTAGACCAATAGTGGCAGAAGATGATGTTTTAACGATGATGATGTAAAGTGAAGAAGGGGGATACAAAATAAAATGATCAGATAATGATTCTGCTTCTAATGGTTTGTATTCTGCTTGCATCTGCATTTAACATTCATTGCTCTAATATCTAACAAAGTCTTTATTTCTATCTGTGCCTTTCTATATTAAGAAACACAATAAAAGTACAATGTGAACGGTATCATGCTTCAAGTTTTAGTGGAAGATTGTGCTACTTGTTTTGTTCTCTTTTGTGCATGACATAACTAGTTAACAGATAACCCAGAAAATATGACTTTTTTCATCTCTTGAAATATGCTTAAATGAATGATACTTTAACCCATTGTGCTTTCAATTGTAAAAACAATGCCTTAGAATTTATTACAGTGAATCACGAGTTTCCATCTTTCTGGACATTTTTGGATAGTGTTGATTTGATCACGTACTGTTATTTTCTTTTTTACTTTGTATTTGAATTTAAATAATAGTTTAAGATAAAATAAAATCACTTTATTAGCCATATACAATTTCTTGCATTAGGAATTTGTCTTTTCGCATACCCCATCTCGCTCTCCATGAGATACACAGGCACACAGATGGGGAGAGAGAAGCTTGGGATCAGAGCGCAGGGTTAGCCATTTATACAGCGCCCCTGGAGCAGCTGGGGTTAAGGGCCGTGCTCAGGGGCCCAATGGAGTAGGATTCCAATCATTTATATTCAGGAAGAAGGCATCCATAGTAATTTTTTTCCCTTGTGGACAGTGACTAGTACAAAGACTACAAAAAACAATAACTTATAGCTTGAAAGCTGTCATATTCCTGTTGTCTATATTAATACATCGAGAGAATGATAATTACAGGGGAAGTTACATTGAAAAATGTGTTTTGGTGAGCTGATGAGTGCTAAAATTGTATCTGCTGTCATTATGTAGACTGTGTTGTATTTGCAGTGCAAACGCATTGTGACATACAGTAGCTACTGCAGAACATGTTTATTCTACTGATCACAAGGCAAGGTTATCCAATGCATTATAACAAGGCCGAGTATTATGTACAATTTAAAGAAGTACATATTTGCTTTAGTGTTTGAATATCTGCCATTTAATGTTCGAGAAAGTAATTTGTATTTTCTTTTTAAAATTAAACATGGAAGTGTATAAATGAAAATCTGACCTTTTGGCAAAAGTTTGATTCCACATTGCATACAGTATGCTGTGTTGACGGTTATGGATTTAGCCCAAAGCATTTCAGGATGGGGCATTAAATGGTGCATGACCTGTGAATGCTGGTCAAGGACATGGAGCAAAAGAAGAGTCATCTGAGGTAGAAATCATGTGAAAGCACAAAACTAAAAAGGACATTCCTTCTGTTCTTACACTGATCTTTCAGTGAAAGACATAATATTAAATGCTGTGGTGTCAGGAATATCCCATTGAGTTTGAAATCTACTGATTGTATTTTTGCTTTGTTTTAATTGGTACAGAGAGGAATTGATAAACTTTGGTTATGGGTTGGCAGAATGAAATCACTTCATTGAGACTACTTTTTAGTTCAATATAGATTCGCTCCTACCATCTTTATTTAATCTCTGAAAGTCTTATCAGTCCATAGGTCTTGCCTCAGTTATTCTGACTACTTACAGCAAATAACTATGATTATACCCCAAGTATTCAATGTCTGCTTGATAGCATAATGGGGTGGAAAATATATAGGTGACTAGTTTCTTTTTTTCATGCTACAGAGTTTATCTATCTACCTTATATTGTTACCTCTCTTAATTCTAATTATTTACCATTTTATTTACAACATGCAGTGTTTATGTATTACTGTATATATGATAGCAATATCATATATAAACCATGCTTACATGGTACTTATCCACTTGATGTACATCTCAAACATCTCCATCCATTCAGAAACTGTGATAACAATTCTTTCTAAACATAGTTAATGGCTATACAGTGTTAACATTAGTTGTATAGATTGCAATTCCACCTTTATACAGTAAATACAACTCAGTCTTGCCAAATCTATATTTTGGTTCATTACACCTAGCATATTTCTTGCTTTATTTCTCATTCCCATTCTACTCTAATAGAGCAAGCAATCACATATGGTGATGTAGAAAGACAAAGAAACAACACATAACAGGGACAAAAGCAATCAAATACAAACCCAGACCATACAGTATGTGTACAGCTGGCAGCTGGACACATACTTTAGTTCTAGGCCACTTTAAGACAGATTTTTAAGGTTAACTCAAAACAGAAAATAGTGTGTAAAACAGCTTTAAATACTCAATGAACTACATCAGGGCTAATTATCCAAGAAGCCGATTAGCCTATCAGTATGTCTTTAGGCTGGAGATGAGAACTTACAAACTTCACATATTGTAGATAGGACCTCCAGGTCCAGGACAAAATGCAAAAGGCAGAAATGCAATTCCCTGTGCTACTGTGCAGCCCTGACTCTGTTGTAATTATTCCTAATGCTAATACAACAGTAAGCTCTGTTCAATTTTTATATTTGATCCTAAAATGACCTTTAGTGAAAACCAGTGCTTTGTAGGTTCTGTCATAAGTTACAAGTACTATAATGTGTTCCTTCTATACTGTTTACTTCTTCACTCATTAGCCCAAATCTTCAAAACCCATAAGAGAAAGATTATTATTCAATTTGTTTTGCAGTGACTGTGTGCTACAGGACTAGTGACCAGGGCTTTTTGTCACTTGTTCTATGAATATGTAGGAAGAAAAAAACAGAAGGACTGTTTTTTGGAACCTTCGTCAATGCTCTCTTATAAACACACATCCTGCTTAGGGAGAAGGAGGTGCTCTAAGTGGTGAGAAAACATTAAGTCTTTCACACTGCCTGTGGTGTATGTTGTGCAGCTCTTGGCTGAGCATAATCTCCATTATACGCAGTTCTGAGAAAAAAATGGAACAGTGAATTGCGACATTCTGCATGGTTATAATAAAACAAAATCCTATTCATAAAATAATTGTTCTCCTGAACACTCATGAAACAGGGCTAACAAATTATTAAAACATACTGTATAAAAATGCATATGCCACACTGTTACAGAATCTCTGAAGTACAAATTATTCTTTACGTTTTTAGGTTCACTTACCCTTTATTTATATTCATGTTCTATCCATGCTCAGTATAGAGGACAGAAATGCAAGTCAAAATAAAAAATATATTTATTACTACTGTATGTACTATGTAAAATAAATAATGTACACATTTATATTAGAAATAACATAATACAAGGTGTTCTGTTTCACAGGGGAGCAGCTATAATGTTTCTTGAATTCCAAGTTCCAGTCTCAAGTCCCTCTCTCCTGGGCTGAGCTCTTGGGTCTTCATTTTTCAGTCTTCGTCACTGTTTTTCTTCATTCTTTTTTCAGGCACTTATGAAAATGATTATTATACTTTAGAAGTATAACGACTTTTTAATCCTTTAAAATCATTCACCTTAAATATTGTGAAAGTATTAATTGTTCATACTCAAGTAAAACTCCCAGTTTGATGAGCAAAAAATCCAACGTACAGTACCCTATGCAGAACAAAACAGAAGGGAGAGCAGAAACTTTGTTTAAAGTGCGGAGGTCTTATACATTTCTGCAGCTACTGTATAAACCGAGACTCCAGATTGCGGGAAGATTACGATACTGTGTAGCCTGTAGGCATAACCAGTTACAATGTTATTGGAGAGTGGTTTGTAATTAACTAGTACCTGGTGTATTGGTGACGCTAGCGCTGGAGTGATGTAAGAGTCAGAGATGTGGGCGGATCTGAGCAGCATCTCTTGAGCTGAATACTGTGATTCTCTTTTCATTCAGTGCCAGTACTGAAACACTTAGCAGCTGGAAACACACAGAGGTAAGTATTCTCCTGTTGCAGGAGCAGGTTTCTACTGTAAGATGTGTTTCTTCCTTTTGTTGTTATTTAGAAGAGGTTGTAAATAGACTTACTGTAATTTTTGCAAAGCCCTTTAATGTTGTTTAAGAAAAGGCTGCAGAATGCAGGCTGTAAAGAAATTGCAGACGCAGCAGTTCACTCGCAGCAGTTATATTAGTGTTTCATCACAACTCTGTTAGATTTTGTTGCATGTATTAAACATTGATTGATTTTGTAATATTTTAAACGTTGCACGATGTGTGGGAATAGTTTCTTTTTCCTCCGCAAAGTTGTCCCGCAATGTTTATAAATTGTGTCGAAATGTTAAAATTTTGGTCTTTGTGTGAATTGGAATAAAAAAACACATTAAATTAGTAACGACGAGTTGAGTTTTCCCGACTTTGCCTAAGCAGTGGAGCTGTAAGTGGTGTTTAATCTATTTTTTCCGTGTTAAAATGCGATGGAATGTTTAATATCGCATGAACAGAATGTATGGTTTAGCTAGAAAACTTGCCTTTTTTTCTTTTGATTTCAAACTACTAAAACAAAACGTCCCCAATGTGAATTCCAACACTGTAAATTGCATATAAGGGTAAATATTAGTTGTTCCTATGTATTCAACTTACAATGTGTTGTTGTCTTGTCCATTACTAATTACATTTGGCCATTTGCCGTTGTAGCATGCAATATCCCTACTGTGTAATGCTTGGCCAAGATATTACGAATAAATCAGATTTGTATGCGTTTTTCTGTCACCACAGCTTTCACATTAACAAGATGTAGAGCTCCATTAATAACAGAGTTCTCCTTCAGTGACAGTCGTCGAAATCTCCTGTGGGGACTTTAACGCCCAGTTATTAAGCTGAATTCCAAGCAAGATATGGTGTTTTCTCCATCAGATAAAATCTTGGCAAGCAGAGAACCAAAGACGTCGTTGGAAGATACACGATGAATGACTCCAGTTTCCCGCAGAACTTGACGGATTTTGCAAGCTTCCACCCATTTCTCATAATATGGGTTCATTAACTCTAAGAATTGCATACAGCTGGAACTGGGTGTCTGAAATGAAACCCTGGAGAAAAGCGCAAGACTTTCTCAGGGCTGCAGAGACAAGCGAGGAATAATCATTGCCATTTCTTGTGAGAGAGAAAAAAAAAAGGTTTTAGCAATTGAGTAAAAACAAAAACGGCAAGTCATGGGGATACAGCACCTTTTGCTTCTTTTGATATATTTGGACCCTCTGAATGTACTTGCTGCCGCTACGGGAAAGAAAAAGAATGCTCTACCTAAGCGAAATCCCAAGGCGAAGGAGGTGAACGGCACTGTAGTTCCCACTGCGGGAACTCCAAGCATCACTCAAGCAGTGCAGCCTAAAACAGGCAATCATGAAACGTGCCTCGGTTACTACGATGTGAGCGGACAGTTTGACAAAGAATTCGAATGCAATAACACCGATCACCGTTACTGCTGCGGAAGTTGTTTCCTTCGGTTCTGCTGTCAGTTTAAAGGGAATCGATTAGATCAGACTACTTGTAGGAATTACCACAAACCAAAATGGGTCATCGTCCCCTCTCAAGCTCCTACTCCGACAGTAGGGACTTACGATCCGAATTTGGATCAAACTAACACAACAGTCTATATCACCTGTGGGGTAATAGCTTTTATAATCGTTGTCGGAGTTTCAGCAAAAGTTGCTTATGACAAAGCAACGCGACCCCCTCAGGAAATGAATGTACACAGGTAAGTTGATGGATTTTATTCTCCACTCTTGTTAATTATAACGCTTTTACTATTAAACTAGATTGCTATCCATAAATATCTGTTTTCAGACAGTAGCAGGTATATATGATATCATCCCCAAAAAAACGTGCTCTAAATTTAGGGTTGCTGCAGAAAGGGAAAAAAAATACATTAACCAATTAAATTTAACAGCGAGAAAATTGGTCTGAAATTTTAACCTGATATCCCCTAACCATATACAATATAATTATACACTAATATTTTCACTTTGTGCAACAGTAGAAGTACATTTTAAAAATTAATTCCCTAATTTCTGTTTACTGTACACATCTGAAAAATGTGAATTTAAAAAATAAATTAGTTTTATACGATTTGAAATCTGATAGAATATGTAAATATAGTGCATCATGTACACAAGCTGCAGTTGTTATTATGCATTGATAATGGAATTATATGGTAAACAATAATTTGGAGTGTTGAATGAGTTAAAAAGTGCACACAATATATTTTGTTTAGTAAACTATGGTTAAGTAGGGACTAACAAAATCCACCCAGTTTCTTTCCTAATAGAGAATAAGTACAGTGGTGGGGAGCTGGTTTCAATATGGTACGGTAAATATGAAAGTAACAGCAAGTTGTACATGTTAGTTGTACATAGAGTAACATTTTGTTGTATGTACAGCAGGTGTTATTATGTTACTTATGAAGTTTAATCAAAATATCAAAACTACCATTGTACTGTGAAGGTCAAAATGGTCCAATTTTGACATTTCATACACAATATGTTATGATACAGGTCGGAATGATGAAACACTGGTTTGCATTGCTGCCTCACAGGGCTGGGGCCCTAGGTTCAATTCCAGACCTCAAGCGATATGTGCACTGGGTTTTTCTTTTCTACCTGTGCTCACTTGGGTTTTCACCCAGAGCATCAGTTTTCCTGCCACTGTCCAAAAACATACTGGTACTGTAGGTTAATTGACTTATGGAAAAATTGGTCCTCCTGTAAGTGTGTGCACGCCTGTATCTGTGTGTACCCTGTGATGGACTGGCGTGTTGTCCAGTATGTATCCCAACTTGAGCTTGTGGCTTGCTCTGGCTCTCTCACAACTCTGTATTTGATAAAGTGGTTAGAAAAGAAATGGATGAATATTATGGTGATGATTTCTAAATGTTTCAATGCAGGATAGTTTTTTAGTGCATAGTTCTTTTGTGCTGTATATGTGGGATTTTCTATGCTTTTACTATACCTTGGCATAGTGCTTTCTTTGTGTTTAATTTACAGTGGTAAGCTAACAAGAAAGTTATTTTTTTAATGTAACAGGGTTAATGTTTTAATTTATACATACAAATATACTGAGGATATATCAGTTCTGGAATTTTCTGAGGTTTCATTGTCAAATAATTAAAATGTACTGCAGCTTCACATAGAAATGACACATAAAGCTTTTGGGTTTTATGAAGTCTATACCTTGCTTCCCTGCTTTAGTAGTTTATGTTTGTGTAATTCCCAAGACATTGAAGTATTATTTGTTGAAGTCATGCACAGTTTTAGGACTGTACATAGAAAAAAAAATGTCCCCCAAATCAAGAGCAGGTGTTTAGTTATAGATATAAGAAAAGGTGCTTTATGTTACATTATGCAACCACTGCATAACATGTTAACCTCTGCTAAATGTTAACAATTGCAGCTGCAGCCCGAGAATAAAATTGTTGCCATCCTTAAAATTGTTTTTCAGTGTTAGGATTGCTAATTGAGAAACCACATTCAAAACCGGCAAAGTATACTTTGCTGTGCGATTGACTGTTTTATGCAAAGCTGCTCATACACACCCACTGCTTACAGTACAGGTACAGTATGTGAATGAATTTAGCATTTAGAAAGAATCTGTAAGAGAAAGTCACAGAAAATGGTTGACTTTTGTTGGCATTAAGTTGGGCCCCTAGATGTTCAGTGGGATTCATGTTGAGTGATGGATCAAAACTTTCAAGCTACAGATGAGTTGTGATGTTCTGGCTTTATTTCCATCTTTGCTTTTCTTTGTGAGCTCTAGGGAAATTGTCAATAAAAATGCAAATACTATTCAGATAAATGACCATTGGTTTAGGCCGGTCATCTATTCTTCTTTTAGGATTTTGATACATCATACAAATTCTCATTTGAATCATTTGAAATAGTAAAGTTGTTTTTTACACCTCTACCTGGTGGTGCAAAAGGGCTGCCACAAATCACCCAGATGGGAGCCACATTTCATTGGTGTTCTAGATGATAAAATGCTGTGAAGTATCTTTGGAATTAATTCTGGTGAACAGCTGTGTACAAAAATAAATTATTTTATGATCAGTATTGAATAATCACACCAAAGAGTGTTCCAGTGAAATATATGAACTCCATTGATCTGGTGTGGGATAGCTTTCACTGATACTTACCACAATATCCATACTGTACATTCATTCCATTGTCCTGAAATTTGTTGTAAATTACTTATTAGAAATGGGTTTAATTTTGCATGATAATTGATCTAAAAAGTATAAGGTTTTTGATGCCTTAAACTGGACAAAAATAAATACAAAATAACATTCCCACCTTTCCTAAACTCTGTTTTACAGTAAAAACGTTATTTTCAAACTTGCATGTCTAGTAAAAGGTGACTCTTCTCTGCATTTGCATAGTCTGTATAGAGTATATTAGACTGACAGTTAAGACTTTAAACCACAGCTCAACATCGGCATACTCAATAAATAAGATAAGAGCTATCTTAAAAGGAAGAAAAATTATACTAGCAAATCTTTCTCCTACAGTATCAGTGTAGCTACTGTATTTAATGTAGTATAAATGGACAAATTTTGTTCAATCTATAAAGTGCAAAAAAAGCATCAGTGATTGCTATGATTGTTAGAGAACCAAAAATGTTCAACATCAAACAAGAAATAAACAACACAAATAATTTTCATTCTTAGAATTTGCCTTACTCTGAATCAGTATGATTCTGTTCATAGGATACAGGCATTTTTCCCCTAAAAATAATTCTCACCATAAAAAGCAGGATTAATTAAGACAGTATCCATTTGTCCATCCATCCATTTTGTAACTGCTTTATGCAATACACAGTGATGAGGAAGACAGAGCCTATACTGGCACGCAATGAGCACAAGGCGGGATACACCCTGGACGGGGTTCCAATCCATTACAGGTCACACACAGATACAAACACAGACACGCACACACATACACCTAAGGGTCAGTTTTCCCAGAAACGAATTAACCTACCAGTTTGTTTTTTAACTGTGGGAGGAAACTGAAGCACCCAGAGGAAACCATGCAAAGATGGGAAGAACATACAAATTCCATGCAGATAGCCCAATTGAAGGGCCCCAGCGCTGCAAGGCAGCAATGTTAACCACTGCACTACTGTGCTAACCCAGTAAGTTAGTAATTCAATATAAATAAAGTAATTTATTGGAAATGACTACCACACAAACACGCAAGCATAATTATGAAAAGATTTGAGTGGAGAGGTGTGTCTACATGTGAGCTGCAAAATAACAAGAAGAGGTTGATCCCACAATGAAACATACAGTACAACAGGAAGAAGAGAAAACACAGTGTTTTGCTAAGGAGCCTTTTTCAGGTGTGCGGAGGAAAAGGGGAAAGAGCAAGAACATAAGGAAATTGTGAGTAAGCAGTACAAAGCAAAGTGAAGGTAAAACCCAACTGAGGATCATTTTGGCTTATTGAGATGTCATTCTGAAGTAACAGTCCTGAAATCCCTATAAACGAATGCAAACAGATCAGTGTATTCGTCTATCACTGGTAAGTTTGGGAACTATCAGCTTGGAGAGAGCTTTGAACCTCACTTCTCTGATAAGTACCTTAAAATGTTTAGCCAAACATCCTCATATTTTGCCAATGTAACTGGAAAGACACTTTTTAATATATTATATTTAAAAAAAACAACATGTATCAACACATTCATTTTAGTAGCAAAGTTGCACTGGGACAGCTGTACATTGTATTGCGTTATCCCTTTATTATAATGTATATTAGGATCTAGAACGCTAACTTACTGAATCACATGGCAAGCCATCTTGTATTTCCATTCAAATGGCAAATCCAGTTATGTGATAAGTCAGGTTAGGCCAGATAATTTCAATTACTTAAATTATGTGGACTCAATCAAGATATAGATTATTTGCAAAGCCATAAAAAGAAACTGCATAACAGAGAATAGGCAGTTCCATATGATTCAGAAGGCATACCACCACCAGTTTTGGATCAACGTTTACAGAAAATTATCCTTAATCATTATTACATACTGCAAATTTCAGATGTGTTTTTGGTTATGCGTACAGTATATACACACAGCAAAACTGAAAAACCGTTTTATAGTGTGTATCTGAATGAAAAAGCAATATTTTGCAATTTGTCGTGAAATGGCAAAGACAATCAGAAATCTTTGATTTCTCACCTGTTAGACAAGATCTGAGCTTTTTTCATGTAATACTTTTCCATATTTGAGTCTATTGTTATTAATCCATTTTCATATAAGCAAACATGGGGATTTTTTCCTAGTTACGTATTGTTACTTGCAGAAATTTCTACCTGAAATAATTACTTTGTTAAAAACATACAAAACATAAAGATTTTGCATCTAAAATGTTTGGGATTTACTGAATTTATTTCTTGTTGTTAATAACCATAGTCATAAAATTGTCTACCACTAATGTGTCTGTGAAGTAACTGTGTTTCAGGAATGGTAAATGACAGTGATAAAACAAGCCAGACTTGTGATAAAGTGAATGGAATGAAGTGAAATCACCCAGGAGCATGAAATATTGTCTTTTATTGAATTCCAATGAGCTAATGACATTTTACTGATATATAGCACACTTACTTAAATGAATAACCTCATTCAAAACCTTATGCGTCTGACCCTGTAGAGCTTTTTCTAAAACTGCAAGTATACTATCTTGATTGAAAATATTTGCTATAGAGCTGT